ACTACAGGAACGTATAAACCCCAAAAAGCGTAAATGGGGACCTCCACAGTTGACCAATCACAACAGAGCTGGTCAGCTAACCAATCAGAGCAGACTGGGCTCTGGTTTCAGACAGAGGGTGAAAAGAGGGTCTGAGTATGATACAAATAAAGACCTTTTTCAACATTAAAGCATGTAAACACGTCACAGTAGAGACACAACATACGTTTATGAACCTGAACATGTAAGGTGCATGTTGAGAATAAGTAGAAGTTAAAAGCATCACATAATAAATAAAATAATCACAACATGACAGACAAGCCCAGGGTGAAAAGAAATACAAACAGCTCTCCCTACGTCCACCGCTCTGAGCACATGTTAATAATCCAAAGTGACTCAGATATGTACATAAACAATCTCAATTCCTCCAATTTCCAGCTCCCCCTCAGCTCATCGAGAAACCCCAGGATGTCCAGAAGCTCATCGATGAATCCATGGTGTGGGAGTGCAAAGCCACCGGGAAGCCAAAGCCTTCGTACAGGTGGATGAAAAATGGAGAGAACCTGGAGCCTGTGGAGGTAAGAGATCTGTCTTTAGATCAGAGTTCCTCTACCAAGGTTACTCCGGCACTTTGGGAGAGATGCTTTTTGCTGCTGAATGAAGAATGTGAGAAACCCTGACTAACTGTAATTCCACAGCTTTATTGTGCTGTTTGCTCGAGACTATTTACCATGCATTATTGTGTTTTTCATTACAACCGGGTACCTCCTGTGCGCCAATACATTATGCTTTTTGCTTTGGAAAGACACCATTTATTTCAAAGGAATTGCTCTGTGTGGCGATAAGAGACTAAACAGGCCCAGTAAGTGATGTGAGCGCTTCTCTAATCTTCTGTTAAATCTCTCTTGGCCAAGTGCAGTTATTAATCCTGTGCCACCAAATATGAAACAGTAAGATTCTCTATATAAACACCGTATATCCTACTTTCATTCTAGCCCCCTCTGAATTCCCATTATGTGTACAATGATGAGCCGATTGTGGCTCCAAACGTGTTCATCGTGTGCAAAGCTGTGCACGGATATGATTCAATATTCCTCCATCATATTGGATTATAATATTGGATCCTTTCTCCAGGTTGTTTGGGAAAGATTGATTGGACACTGAGGCACAGCTTGCACCTGATAAATAAACAGGCATTATGTTCATTTGCTTCATTATGCAAAAAAGGAGACAAACACACCAGAGGATATCGATCAGTGCTTGAATGTTGTACATGCTGTTTGAATGAACCCGGTCTGTCGTTATTTTACCAGAGGCAACCCTCTGCTGCAAAGCCTCCTCCTCATACAAAACACATTTGGCTCGCTGTCAGGCAAGAGTAATCAACAATCTGTTCAGCCAATGGCCAACAGTTTTATCAAAACCTTTTTGAAAGTAACACTATTGTGTTAATTGGACTGCCCATCTGGTTTTATGTTTACAAAATGTTTTTGTTTACCCGATGTGAGTTGAACCAGGACACTACAGCCCAAAACATTATTTTGAATGAACTGGTGAGAGTTTGGGCTCTATTGGATTGGAAAGAAAACATCCAAAATACAAATTAAGAAGTTCATTTGACTAACTTTGTCAATTGTATTGTTTATTTATCCTTAATGCAACACAAGTTGGCATTACATTACATGTTAGACGCTTTTATCCAAAACAACTTACATACTCAATACTGTGGGCAATCCGGGGTGAAGTGTCTCAGGGACACGACGACATGCTGACTGCAGTGGGGTTTGAACCTGTGACCACCTGATCCGAACACGAACGCACTAACCCACTGCACCACACGCCTCCTCATTAGATCATATTTAACATTTCAGTGGTCGCTGTATAGTTCACTTGGTAGAGCTGTTGTCTCCCCCTTTATGTCATGTCTATACGGCACTTGTGGCTTGACAAAATCTTAAAAAAAAGTAAATGGTCCATCTTATCTTATCTTATCTTAAAAGCAAATCTGAAAAACCAATCAATGGACTATGAAATGCAAAATATAGGTAATGTTGCAATACATGACTTTGAAAGCTGTTTTCTTAAAAGAAAAATGTCCACTTCATATGTCATGCGTTGCAGCTTCAACGCTTCTGCCCGTTCACTTTGAATGGGGTGACGTCACGATTCGCCGAACTGCATTGTGGGAGCAAAGCGTAGCTTCTCTCGGGGTGCGTCAGCCAATCGAATCATATGCCAGTACAAGCTCTAGCCAATCAAACCGCGTGCTTGTGTGTCTGGGGCGGGAGATTCATGTGATTGGTTGTTGGTCGAGTTTCAGCCCCTCCCCCCCCCGGCAAGTGACAACGCACGCCGCCGTGTGTAGGGGCCGTTACAGTTTCATTGCTGTCTACATTCAGTATTTCATATATAGCCTAATTTATTCAACAACATTTGAGCATGCAAATGTTCTTATTTCCGGAGCAATCCTACGTTTATTTTACAGAATAAACCAAAAATGTTCACATTTTCCTGGAACTATCCAATGTTCTGGAGCTGATGTATAAAACAATTGCAGTTTTAATAAGATGTATATACAAAACAAAATACATTAAGAAACATTGTAATACAAAAATATGTGTTTTTAACATGATTGTTATTTGCCTTTCTTTTTACCAATGTGCCCGTAGACTCTCCTTATAAATTATAATATTGGAGACACTCTGATAACCGACTTCTAATGCATACTTCAACATTACATATAATACATTTAATCTAGTTAAAGTGACCGTACTCCTTCTCCTTCCCTTTAATTCTGATTACATTTGAATAAAGTCAAACACAGGAGAATTACACATGTATCTCGCCACACTCAGCCATCTGGCTTCCAATGCATTTCAATGCATGTGTGATTAAAGATTACAATGACTGTTGATTTCTGTGCAGCAGTTTTCCTCTCAACATAAATATAATTAATGGACATATTCAGAATGCATGGGTGAGTGGATTGATTACCAAAGGTGTTGCATTGTTTCAAATGCCACCATTAACCACAGTGGCTTAATGAGTGGAAGAGGGAAAGGTCAATGATGTACGCAGCGGTGGGAAGAGGATGCTCCATTTGTTGTTATTTATTGCAGCAAATCAATTGAGACCTTTCTGACTGTATAGCTGGTTTATTTCTGCTGACACTTTTATAAGTTTGAGCAACGGAAATTGAGCAATCAATATGAAAAATAAAGTTAGGTGCTCGATCGGAAGATTGGCTATACAGTGCAGTACACGCCCCGGGAGTCATTATATATATATCTGAGAATATGTGCATTCAATTATTCAATGTCAGTCATTTAAAATATTTAACAACCCCCAACTATTCCTAGTGTTTCGCTCTAATAATAGTAGCTCTCAGACTGGTTCCTCAATGATTTTGCTCTTTGTTGGACAGCAGTTGACATGCAGCTTCATACAATATTTCACATGCCCTTATATATTACGAGACTCCTATTTTCCTTTGGGATGCTTTGTGTTACTGCCCTGAGTCAAAATAGTAGTAATTTATTGAGATGCTTCTTTTTCGTGTGGCTGTTCTTCTTGGAAAGCACCTCTCTCTCTGCTGCGTTATTGACAATAGCCCGAGGATTAAGTGGATGAGCAATTAAAGAGAGACTCCAGCGTGAAACAGGATTGACTCCATTTAAATTAGGCGGGACCGCCATACAGAGGGCTGGCAACAATGTACTTGAACTGAGGTTATTCCTGTTAGTGTTGTAGTGGTGAAGACTTTGGAGTCACGGATGGACGATCAGTCATGGAAAGCATCTCGCTATTTTTCTACTGGTGCTTGAGTATTTACTACTTTTACTCCAATACCATTCAGACGCAAATTACAATTAATTAATATATGTGTTCTGAGCCCAGTCTGATTTGATTGGTTGGCTGTGGCTCTGTTGTGATTGGCTGGTTGGCTGTGTGGCTCTGTTGTGATTGGCTGGTTGGCTGTGTGGCTCTGTTGTGATTGGCACATACAATGTGTTGGAGAGCTAGCCAATGGAAGTACAAGTGTTATGTACTGATGTCACTATGTTAAGGAAGTAGGCACAGGAGTCCAATGGAGGCGTTTTGAGGGGGGAGTGTGTGGGAGAGAAATCCCCTCTGGCCTTTGCAGACCATTTGCAGACCATTCGCATGCACAAAAACCGATTTAACACACCACACACATAGGCTTAAATAACTGAAGGCTGTGTTTCCAAGGTTAGTTTTTGCTGCAGGAACACATAGAGCTGGGTCTGAGAATCAGTAACTCACAGGAGCGACAATAAATAAGCGAGTCATTTTTGAAGTCCTTTATAGATGAATAGATAAAAGTGTTGATGCTGCCTGATAGAGAGGCAGCCCACCTCCTAATATAATACACAATGCCGGTGCCATGTGGGTCGACTGTAATAAATCTGAGCGCTGAATGATTGACAGCTTCTAGATGTTTAAGGCTGGGGACAGGAGCATCTCTATAAATAACATCAACATATTCCAATACGGAGAGAAAGGTTGCTCACACATTCCTTTCCCTACGATAAAATGAAAACAGGACCCATTTAGCCACCTTATATTGAGACTTTGGTGTTGTATACAGGTTTTTAAAGTAAATGTAATCTATCTATTAGCTTACAAGCAGAAGAACTTGCACATTATTATGAGCTTTCATGTAACATGGGAAGGGGGATAATGTAAATGGCTTGTTGAATCCAATGTTTTCTGATCGGCAGCCCATAGAAAAAAGACAACATTGTGTTATATTACAGTTTTTGGGGTTGTGGGATGATCCAGTACCCACATGTGTGTGCACAAGCACTGGAAAAGTGAGTGTTCACAATGTCGTATTTAAAGTGGACCTATCATCATGCTATATTTGAATAATATAGTGTAGGACCATACCTATATAAGGCATATTTATACTTTTTATTTTTCAAAATACCAAACAGATCATGCATTTTAGCCATTCCTCATTTCGCTCAATTTAACACTGTCTTTGCATGGGCTGATTCTGTGAGAACAGCACCATCTACAGGCCTGGCATATGTACTACAGCGTCTCCAGCGCTTTCCAACGGCAATGTCCGTGGCTGTCTCCTCCTGATTGGTGGAGTTGGCCCAATAGCCGTAGCGCCACTTCTGTGACCTCATAGAAGTGTTCAAATCTGGATCAGTCTGTATCAGATCCGTTGCAGCCCCTTTTTAAGAGATTTGGGTATGGAGGAAAATAAAGAGGGTTGTGTTTTCTGACACTTGGTGAGTTCCCTGGAACACCGGGGACACATATTCATGTAGAAAAGACGTACAAAAGTGCATTTTGCATGATAGGTCACCTTTAAAAGAGGGATCAGAAAACAACAGTTCATTTCCTTAGCTCTAGAAAAAACCAACATCAAATGACTCAGCATTCATATTAATACTACAAAATAGAATCAACAACATTATGGTTGAATATTATGAAGAAATGTCAGACTTTAAAACTTAAAATTCACGAGTTACCCACTCCTACAGTATATTGTTAAATATTTTTTTAAACTTTTTACAGCTGTAATAAATAAACAATAAAATACACATGTTTCCAGCGTGGTCCATCTGCAATGTGAATGCAGTAACAGAGTGTTTTAACACGGTGGTCTTGCTACTATAATACTAATGGAAAACAGATCTTAGCGCTGATTCCACCACTGTGGCTGATTCCCCTGCTAATTCAAGCTCAAGTGGAGCGAACAGGCTGAGCTTTTTGTTTTGCTGTTGCAGAGCCGCTGTTGAACTGAGGTCATCTTCCTGCAGTTCTTTCTTACACAGGCAGGCATGTTCAGTAGAGTCATCAAACATCTGTCAATAGCTGATTTAGTTCACAGTGAGCACAAATCATCTTAGGAACATAAAACTTGGCAGGTCAAAATCAAATTAACGTGGTTCAGTTTTTTTTTTTTTTAAACACTTCCTTAAATCCTCATTAGTGGAGTTGTCTTGTTTTGAGTTTACACCAATGTTGCTTTTAATTTAAAATGTACAGCTGTGAAATGATTCCCACACAGGCTTCCAGTAATTAGTTTGAGAATAACTGTTGCCAGCAATCAAAAGCAAAACCCCCCTTTTACTGAACCATAAAAGTCATTCCTTCATCCTAACAATCTTTCACATCCTTTTTGAAGCTTCATATAAAAACAAAATCAACCCAGCGTTGTTGGCAAATGACATTGCCAATCATTCTCCTTCAGCATAAGGCGTGCAGATGGTCCCCCCAGGTCCCCGGCATGAAAAACTGCTGATTTGAGAGGAACGTCATGCTTAATTAATAGCAGCCATAAACGGGAGTGCTTTCCATGCACAGACTGATGTGCGCCACCGTTTGCCTCTCCCTTGCCAGCAGGGATATTCGCCCCTGCACATCCCGAGCGTTATGGAAATGTAGGCACAACCTGCTCAAACACAGGATTAGTTTGTGATCTTTCAGTCTTTCTTTTCATGTGACAGTACCTTAATCCCCCGTGACTAGAGTTCAAGCCTATGGAAAAAGGGGTTGTAATGACATTATGGGTGCGCCCGAGGAAAAGAGACGAGATGAAGGGCACGAGGAGGCAGAACCTGACACGCCTGCATAGAGATGTGTGAAAACTGCTCAAGGACTTAATGGTGAAGTGGAGGAGTTGAGTGAGAAGAGATAAACTTATATTGAGGATTATATGTCCAACAGATGCAGCGATCCAACCAGTTCATCAGGCCCAGCCATCCTTAAATAGATCTTAATTTGATGGCTCAGTGACGAGCTACATTTATCCCACAGGCGGGCGAAAAAAAGCTCCAAACAGACGACGAGGAGGTGCAGCTTGACCGTGTACACATCGCTTAGTATGTATGGGGCATACCTATCAGAAAAGCAATTTTCACAATGCATTATGCCTCAGATGTTACGATATTCCTTCCCCAGTTATCCCCTCCTCCTGCTGAAGGGGAAACAGCCCTTGTGGTGCAGTCGGAGATATAAATAGGGCATGGTTTTATTTCACTCTAATAAACATGCAGATTGATTAGGGTCATTTTCTGCTAGCCTGCCTCCATCCACCCAAGCCTTTCCCTCCATTAGTGATGAAAACCTAGATTTATTGCCACGTCTGTCACTTCCGGACCATGTCTCTCTGGCCCGCTGGATGGCTGTTCTTATGTCGATGAACGCTGGGAATAAAGCTTATTAAAGGCACGTGTGTCTCTGTGTCCATAGGAGCGCATACAGGTGGCCAACGGAGCATTGACCATCAGCCGCCTGACCCTGGCCGACACAGGGATGTACCAGTGTGTGGCCGGGAACAAGCACGGCGAGGTCTACTCCAACGCAGAGCTCCGAATTATAGGTAAGGCATTAGTTGGTTGTGTGTCTGTTAGAAAAACATCACTCGTCCCCGGCTTGAGCTTCAATATCAGGATACTTGTATTTATGATCCTCTCAAGAATGGAAGTAGTCATCACATACAGAGCATCAACTAGTTCCTGAACAGTGTCCTTCACATGCTGATATCCAAGAGAGGGAGTTACACAGTCACAAGATGGAGGAATAGAAAGCAGTATTCAATGTTTACTTCAGATTAGCTCCACGTCAGAAATGATCATGCTTGTCATATGTCTCTCTCCATAGAGGCTGAATCATCATGTTAATCACATAGCTATCATATGCCTCAAACAGTCCTGATGCTCTTCTAGGTAATCACACATCCTGTCATGTACACAGCTACAGTTGGGATACCTTTGTTATCATGTGTACTCTGATATTGGAAGACTACATTCAGTATTTTCACAACGGTGTCCGTTTGCAAAGACATGTGTTGATTTGCATTAGTTTGTCCATATTTGTTCTCAAGTTTGCTTCGTCTTCTGCTC